ACGGATCAAGCGAGTAGCGACGAGGGTCAGCATATTAAGGCTTACGTAATGGCTTCACGTGTCAAAGACGATACGAGGCGTCTTTCTTTATCGGCCGCTAAAGCAACGCTATAAACGCGGAGGACCTTCTTCCGTCCTCTTGTGTTCTTCGTAACGTGTGCCCCTTCGATCGCTGGCTACCAACTAGGGCTGTTTTTAATCACAGATACCCACCCATTGTCGCATACAATTTGTACAGGGGGAGAGGGTGAAGAAAGTGGTACGAACGCTTAAAGGATTCATAAGAAAGTGACAAAGTCGTCGTGCGACTTGCAAAACTCTGCATCGAGTAATTCGAAGGAGCGTGGCTATAAGTCTAGCTGTCGAAATTCCATTGGATGTTTTCTGTAATTCGTTTCTTCGATCAGACTCGTCTTTGCAACGGTGCAGCTCGACGAGAACGCTTTGCGATTAATTTTTCAAGACGATGCTTGGCCGGCGGTTGTCGCGACGCGGAAAAAGGCGCGGGCTCGCGACGAAAAGCGTTTAAGCCAAAGTGGAATTAGAAAAGTGGCCGGCAGATTTAAGCTTGCGTAACTTCACGTGTCTCGCAGAGACAACGTGTCCTCTACTGAAAGTCTTCTTTCGGTTATTTTTATCCGTAACTACGGCTCGCGTCGGGTGTAAGAAATGTTAATTGGCCAGGAAAACGCAGAAATTCAAACATCCTCGAACGTCGTACGATCGTGCAAAGATTCTGCGCGTTCCAGGCGTGCCACGGAATCGTTTTCATGTACGCGGTGCTTCTGTCCTCGACTTTTCGCGTCCTTCGCTCCGGTGTCGAAAAACTTTGGCCAAGGAAAGAAAGCAAGCCGATAGGAAGAGCAACGTCGTGCCATTAGACACGGCAGAATGCGCATCTAGATGGGAATACAGATCGTGCTCGCTTTGGTCTTCGAATCGTGCTGCATTTATTCATGGCCTATGACCAGAAAGGAGGCAACGTAAAAATAAACCTTTCGTCCGTTCGTTCGGAACCGACTGTCTCTTAGGATCGATTGATCGATCCGAACGCGAACGAACGGGAATCGATAATTTCTAAAAACGGTGCTGACTCTTGTACGCTAATGAAACGGGAATGATTCATTCGAATGGTACACGTTGCCCTTTTCTTGGAAAATGTGTGCGTAAATTGACGACATCGATGGAGATTGCGAATTTGATAAGAATGACGAATATATTTTTCCCTCAAATATCCTCCGTGTCTCAACTAACGCGATAAATATTCGATGACGAGCGACTTGTGTCGATTTAGAATACTAATACGGTTTAGGTGAATTCGTGAAAGAAACACGCGCTCGACTTTGACCCACAGCGACGTTGCGTAGGTTATTACTGAACAAGACGCTCTTTAGAGCAGCTAATGGACCAAGACTCTGTTAATATTGATAATGGCGAAAATCAGGCCAATAAGCGGCCATGGTACTGATCGCGTTCGAGGATACAGACGACTACGCGCGGATTAACTACGGGGTGGTAGAGTGTCGATTTCCAGGGCAAACCAGCGATCGACTAGCGAATTTTCCTTTTTTCTTTTTTTTTTTTTTTCATTTTTCCTCTCTTTCGCAGCAGTGTTATAACTGTTTCGACGGACGCTCGCAAATACCACGTGAAAATTGCATTTCAAACGCAGTTTCGATTCAACTTTTTAAAATATCTGTAACGCTTTCCGATTCCTGGCGTTAATTTTATTGCGGCTCCCAGCAAGCGAGAAAAAAAAGAGATTAATACATATCGGAGGAAGAATTGTGTTTCTCTGTATATCGTCGGTTGATTCGTATTATTCGCGGTATCGTTTATTAACACTTAAACGACCGGTTGTTGAGCGCATTATTTCGCCTAACGATTCGACGAAATGGCAAGAGTTGTTGAGCGAGAAAAATCTTTCGAGATTATGCGGCAAAAGGACGGGTGTTGATAGCTGCCAAAGCGTTTTGAGTGTTAAGATGTTATCGTGGGTGACGCAAAGGTTGTATCGGAGCGTAACACCGTGACTCTCGGCAGCTCGATCAATTTTCTCGTATTTTGCCTGCTCTTACGTAGCATAACGCAAAAAAGCATCGGGAACGTGATCGACGTTGTCGAATTAATCGTTAACGGCATTGGATTACACGCTTCTGCGCACTGCTGTCGTTACCGCGCAATAAACGTGTACGCCTTCGTCTCGACGGGGTCATCTTTAAGATTTAATCAAGAACGAGCAATCAATGCTTCTGTAACTTATTTTGTAATCCGTTGCTGGGAAGCGGCTTTTCCATTACAGATTATACGGAGCATGGAGACCGTTCCATAAGCTTCGAGTGTAACGGACGTTCGTCAACCGTAAAGCAACGTTTACTAATTATCGCAGCTGCCATTGACACGCGCTTAATAATAGAACACCGAAATATCATTAAGCAGCTCGCTTCAGGGAAACGAACGAAATTCGATCGACCGGTTTCTCTATTGAAACTGTTCGTCAAACGATTTTACAAAACAATTCCAGGGATGCGTGCCTTGGAAAAATCTGTACATTTTTGCAAAATATAAAATAACGCATTGAAAACTTTAACGAATGAAAAATAAACGTTTTAAAGGGAAAATTTTACCACATACGTCAGTTTTCACTGTAGCAGTCAACGTGGTGCGTGGTTCACTGCCGCAGTTGAAATGGACATCGGTGTGGGTGGTAAGGAGACGAGCAGGTAAATGTATAGAAATTCACGCGCTCGACGCAGGATCGGAGCACAGTTGTTTTCAATACTTGAATCGCTTCGTTCGACGTCTATATGTATACTGAGCGCCGGTCCTGTGCCGAGCACGTGAGTTTGTATACATTTACCGACTCGTCTCGTTGGACGGATTATAGGGGAAGACGGTACGTGATCTCGCGTCAGATTTTCAAACAGCGCCGTTCATGCTGGTTTGTCCGAATAAATTTGTTACTGGTAGCTAAGATGTAACTTTGATTCCCGTTTCTTATGTTGAAAGTTGGAACGGTACGAGCGCGGCCGATGTCGTATCGGGACGACTCGCGGTGCAACGCGCGAGCAGACCTCTTTTACGCTTATGCGCGCGACGAGCCTCGAGTAGGCTGCATGTTGTATGCGTGCATGGAGTAGTATGAAAGAAGTAGAAGGCAATGTTTTTGCGTCCGGCAGTAATGCACGCAAGTGCATTTCGTCGGACGAGTTGCAACGCCGGGAACGTCCCCATTCTAGTTCGACTATCTACATCGCTATAAGTTTACGTAACCGCACGAAACCTGTCAGCTGACATTTTGGTGCTAACCAATGGCGACTATTGTCTTTCTCCTTCTGCGCCTAGTTCTCGTCTGTCGTCGCTAACTGGTCGTCGCCTCGATTTCTATCCTTCCTAACAACCATTCGTTCGTTCGTTCGTTCGACCGTCGTCGTTTCGTAAACGTTCTCCGTCATTGAACGAAACGCGTTTGAGTCCGAACACGATGCCATGCTTTCTCGAGGAAAACGCTGAAAAAAACGACTAGTGGACGTTACTCGAGAGCGTAAACTGCATTTTTCCCTCGATTTTTAGAATAGTCCAAAGGGATCGGTGATTCGATGGAAGGAGCGCATCCTAAGTAGAGCAAGCTTCTCCTTGGATCGGATCGGATTATCTCGAAGGAGATTAGAGCACAGAGATGGAGTGCACTCCCAAAAAATCGGATCCCACCTAAATCTATATACCCATACCTCTATATATGTATATACATATATTCTCGAGGCGGAAGAGTACCTTGAGGCACGGTAACCTGGGATTTTCCGATGCGCCTGTTTTCTCTTCATTTTTTTCTTCATTTTGTTTTCTCTTACTCTCTATTCAGTTGATCGCTTTTTCTTTGCCCGGTAAACGATATGACGACGAAGAACGAGCCTGAATATCTTTGTTCCACGTAGGACGCTCGTCTCGCCCCCTCCGTTCATTGATACAGTGTTTACGAAACCGTCGAAGGGAGATATTACCAAGTTATTATATTTCGCCGAGAGGAGCAGAGGCTTTGTCTCCTCGGCGAAATTCAACAATAAGCTCCTTATCGTCGAGGCTGTTTGGCGGAAAGAAACGCATGCCAACGATCGCGCGCGTTCGTCTGTGAGCGAACAGAATATCCAAGACCAAAACCCAAGATGTCAACTTCCAAGAAGAAGAAGAAGAAGAAGAAGAAGAAAATAAAGGAGAACAGAAAGAAGAGAAAAAAGGAAAGGAAAGGAAAAAAAAAGGAAAAAAAGAGAAAAAGGAAGCGATTCAGAAGAATGTTGCGCGTTTCGCAATTTATCAGAGCGCGTAAAACACGTTAACTCCGAGTGGTGTTCTTGAAAGATGATTCGTCGTGTTCGATACGCGCGGCACGATAAAATTCACCTTCGTCCAGCAGCGTGACGTGTACGAACAGCGTGGCGGAGAGTCAACAAGTTGTTCAGCCGGACCACCACCCCTTCCCCCAACTAAATCCCACTTCCTATAATTAATAAACGTCATGTATCGTGGCAGTGCCGAGCAATTTAGATCAGAGTCGATGCGTCGCATCAAAACCTCTCTCCGTCCGTGACCGGTTTGATTTTCAAAGCGTATTTCAATTTTTGTTTCTCCCGTCGTTATTGACTCGCGTCCTCGCGCCTTTTATTTACCAGTCAATTACATTCGCCTGGATTTTTTATTGGCCGTCTTGCACCTGACGTTTCCATCGTGCGTTTCGTCGATTTTGCGTGTACGCGCGATACGCGCACCACCGATCCGATGATCCATCCGTCGACGTCGTCTCGAACCCGCCACCCGCCACGCAATTTATTGTATTTTTGACGTTCGTCCAACGATGGGAGACCGCCAACGGGTAATCCGCCGGAAAATTCTATAATCGAGCGAAAATGAAACGTTCGCCGACCAAACGCGTCTACCTATATACATATATATATATATATATATATGTGTGTGTGTGTGTGTGTGTGTGTGTGTATATATACATATATGTATATACTATACACACAAAGGGAATAGTCGCGTCGTGTCGCGTCGCGTCGGTCGCGCGTCGTACATACACGACGACGACTCGAGTATAGCTTTTGCACCCCGTTCCTATACCCCCGTTGTGTCCCTGCTACAAAGGTCAACGTCCTTTCGACGCGAACCAACCAAGAAAATTATTAATTTCAAGAGTTTTTTGTTCGGCTTTCCACCCTGGCCTCCTCGATCCTTCCTCCACCTTCGCTATATTGGCAAAGGCAGGTTGAGACATTAATTTGCAAAGTCGTAAACAAGACGGCTGCCGCTGTCGATACTTTTAATAAAATGCTGGTAATTAAATTGTACGGGGATCGGTAATGGTCGAGCTGGTCCGGATCGAAGGACGCGGCCGTAGGAGCGTGTACGGAGCGAGCAGTCGTCGGGTGAAAGGTAATATCGAACTCGTATTTTAGGTGGACGAGAGAGATAGGTAGGTAGGTAGGTAGGTAGGTAGGTAGATAGGTAGGTAGCTGGTCGAGAGAGCGGAGGAGTCGTAGTCCCGCAGGTGGGGTCGTAGGGGAAAGAAACAAAAAAAGACCGATGGAAACAAAAGGAATCCGCGTCTTTGGGAGTAGCGTGTTAGTTAACCCCCCCACCCTAGCCACGGGGGTGTTCGTTCGCGACAACTCATCCCCGCCGCCCCACTTTGACTCCACTGCCCCTCGCCAACCCCTCGCCTCGTCCCTTTCTTTCTCTTCCCATCTTTCGTATCCTTCCACCTTCCGTTTCCGCCTCCACCTCCGCTTTCCTATCTCCTCGTTTCAGAAATTTTTGAATATCCGATCAATAGGTGGCTGCTCGTAGGAAAAAACCGAACCGAGTGGGGAGGTATCGGATCGGTGCCTCTGGAACTTTACCACCACCACCCCTATCCTCGCGATTCGTCGTGCTCTTCGAGACGAGACTTATCCGTTTTTCCTCCGAGAACCTCCTGCCGATGCTCTCCCTCTCTTAATTGCCAGCTACGCCCGATGCGCCTCGATTTTCCGTTCGATGTCCAGCTTTCCTTTCCTCGTCGTCGTCGACTCCGCGTATGCCGACTGGTATCGACGCCGATGCGATGTGGGTATAGCCGCTTGTTTCGCGACTTTGTCGGTGGTCTCTTTAAAAATTTCCTAACCATTCCCCGGTATAAGCCGTTTCCGTATCACGAACGAACACCGTCTCATGAAAATATTATTTTTCCAAAGTTCCCATGTCCCGATCGTGAGTCCGTCGCGGCGAGTCGGTTCGCTCGGTTCGACGAGCTATCTCGAAATAAGGTGCACGCGAACAACCAACCATCTGCCACACTTCCATGCTCTAGCTAGTTATTCCTATGTCAGGCCGGAGGTAATAATTCAACGGTAAAAAGCCGGAGAATTCGTGGTTACGTCGTACTGTTCCAGGTAACGCTTAAAAATGTACGGATGCGTTCGATACGTTAGAAATCGATGCGCATCCTACATCCTCAACGAAAATAAAAAGAAACTTGTGATGAAAAGGGGGGGGTTGAAAAAGGTAGTAGATGGTTGGTAACGAGGGTAACGATTTCTCGAGCGTTCAAAAAGTGGCGCGCGTTACGAGTGTCGGACGAGAGGGTAGCAGCCGAGGGACAGGGGTTGGTTGGGCACTTTCAAACTTTCAACGCGGTCGTCGCGGAAGCCGCGCACATTTTCATTTACCAAAAAACGCGAAGCATAATAAGGGGGAAGATAAAAGTAAGCGTCAAAGCGGTAGCAGCGAGCACGGAAGCAGCGGTATAGTGCGGCGACGGAGGGGCCGAGGAAGAAGAGGGTGGCCGGAAAACGAAGCCGCGAAACACGAACGAGGAGTCCGCTCGCTCGCTGGTGCAACGATGCAGCGGCGCGAGTGCAACGACTGCAGCAGCGGCTGCAACGATGTCGAACGCGTGCTTTTCATACCGTACCACCAGCTATCCAGCCAGCCAGCCAGCCAGCCAGCCAGCCAGCCAGCCAGCCAGCCAACAGTCATCGTCTTTGCGCTAGGGTTCCACGCGACAGGAGGGAGAAGGGGCCATGTTTCGAAGCGTTTTATAATTGAGACCGTGCTGGAACGGGGGTGGCACGGTCTCGCCGGAGGACGGGGGATCGATAGCATTTTTTTTCGGGGTAGGAACCCAGACGTACGTGGCGCGAAGGTGGCCGAGAGGAGAGGAGAGGAGTAGGGGCTTGATTCGTGTGACACATCCACGCGACGAAGGGACGAGGAAGGGAAGGGTTAGAGAAGGGACTGATATACGTCGCAAGCACGCGGGAAAGGATAAGAGAGAAGAGAAGAGAAGAGAAGAGAAGAGAAGAGAGGAGAAGAAAAGAGAAGAGAAGCACAGAAAAGGGAAGAGAAGAGAAGAGAGGGAACGTGCGGGCCTGGAGGGTCGCTCCGGCAGGCTTGCTTTTCGACAAAGAGGCGACGACGCTTTTTTATAATTGCGTTTTTAATTTGATGGATTCTTTGATGCGTTTCGTCGTATACTCGAGCGTGCGCGGAAGAGCGAACGACAGGGAAAAAAGGATAGTTGGGAAAGGAAACGAAAAGCTAGGGGGTTGAAAAAGGAAAGAAGAGTATAACGCACATACGTGTATGAAAGTGTTGGCATACGTGTACCGGGGGGAGGTGAAGCGGTGAGGAAGAAAGAAGAACGAGAGAAAGTGAGAAAGTGAGAGGGAAAGGGGATGAAACAGAGAGAAAGAGTTGGCGAGAAAGGAGAGATGAAGGAAGAGAGAAATACGGCGGCGGCGGCGGCGGCGACCGCGAGAGTTTTTTTTCTGGCCCAGCACGGAGCCCGCTTGCTTCTCTTCTAACCACTCTCTCGCAATCCCTGCAACGCGCACACATCTTCGTCGTCTTCGTCGCACCATCATGCCGGGCGAGAAACCGAGCTTTCCGTGCATACGTCGCGACGCGCCTACTTCGTTTCCCTTTCTCTTTCGCTCCCTTAAATCTGCTTCGATCCCCCTCTCTGTTCCTTCTTCTCACCCTTTCTTCCCCACCCGTACATCGAACAGCCGCCCGACTAAATTAATTTCAATTGCGTTCGCCGGAGGCATTTCCGTCGGGCTAGATTTTCCACCGTCCCGACGATTTTTCCCTCTGTCTCTGGCCCGACCTCTCTCTCTCTCTCTCTTTCGCGAGATCATCGATCGTTGATCAGAGGAAAGTAAGATCGAGTGGGGAGTGTGTTATAAACGCGGAAAAATGTAGGATAGAAGAAAAGGAGTGCTGTTTCGTAAGCTTTCGAGTGCTGTATCTGCGTTAAGTTGGATCGATGGATGGAAAAGCTCGTGTAAACTGTTAAGGTCTAACAAACGAGCTGTAATGTGATCGGAATTTCCAGCAACGTGATACAGATTTAGACCTAAATCTGGTCTACCGATACGCATTGACCTCGTTCGGCCACGTATAAGGATGAAGCGAACAAACAAAGCGAATTGAGCCGGGCTCATCCGATGACGTATGAAAGTGGCAGAAAATCAGCTAGGTAGAGCTCATTAACGATCGCTCGAACGTGAAATAACGTCGCGGTTATTTCGTCGTTGCCTCCAAAATTAATCGTCCGTCGGTTCGTTTCATATTCCGAACCTTTTGTAACATCGCAACACGATTCGATCGTGATTTCGTCTTTATACTAAAACGAATTTCCCTACCTGTTGGCCTACTTTTCGTTTCGAAATAGCACGCCAAGCATCGGCACGAGCTTTGAGTACGCGTATTTAACCCGGCAATGCGAGCAGTCACGCGTTTTCGAGTTTTTCCGAACGGAGATGGAGAGCAGACGGATGAAGCGAAACGATTTTTATTGCATTTCGCAGCGTGGATTCCCAGCTGGAAATTACGTCCAGTGAAACGTTTTGTTTTACAACGTTTTCCTCGTCTCTTCCTCTCTCTCTCTCTCTCTTTCAACCCTCCAGCACCCCGCGCTTCCATTCGTTCAACAAATTTTTTTCCGCTTTTTCCCGACAACTGGTTTTGCACAGAGGACATCGTTACAATCATCGGATTCGTATCGAGTCGAAAATTGAGATTATCCCATCGACCGTACAAAACTTTTAATCCGTTCGATTCGCGTTTCGTTGATCTATGAAACGAAATGAACTCGATCCTCCGCGTACTTTTGTCGCGGGAAATCGTCTTCCGTTCGAAAGTAATCGATCGATCATCTCGGATCGAAGTATCCCGCAAATCCTCGGCGCAGCTGCTCGAAATGTGTGACGCGTATCGACCAGCGCACCTGCTTATGTCGTAGCAGAGATCCAAAGAAGTCGTAATTAACGATCACGGAAGGTGGCTGTCTCGTTTCGGGGAACAAAGCGGTTGCTCGCATTTATTAGGTTCCGTATTATGCCCGCAAGAGATACGGGCTAAATCTCGCGAGCGGCGTTTTATACGGCGAAGAAAATGGCGACTGAAGTGTTAAGGGTCGTATCCCTTTTACGCTTGGGAGTCGGTGCGAGCGGCAAGAGTCGACTGAGGTGTCCAAAGTGTGTTCGCTGCGCGAAGCGGGAGAAGGAGGGAAGAAGAAAAATAGAGAGGCGAGAGAAGCGATAGCCTAAATTTAGTAGACATCCAAAGTATAGTCATGGAAGCGTGTAAAGAGAAGGAGAGAGCGAGTTCGAGTAGACGGTGGAGGACAACGAGGAGAAGTATCTTGGTAGCGAGCAGACGTACGGAGAAGGGGATGGGGTAACTCTGTGCTTTGGTGGCAACGGTTTAGGGTAGCAAAAGGAGGATACCAGAGGGTGGAAGCGGCGAATGGTGGAAGGAGGGGTGCAGAACGAACTGTTGCTTCCCCGAGAGCCGTGTCGTGCCGGTACTTCTAACACAGGATTCTCGAGAGCCTCCAAACAGGATTTAAGCGTTCTCACCGGCCACGAGGACTATCGCTTCCAGTATTCCCTGCAATTTCCTTCGAAACGTGTCTCGATTCTACGCCTACCCCACTCCCTTCTCGCGCCTACACCTTTTCTCCATAATTAATCTCAAAATTAACTTATTTTCTTTTCTCGCCGTACGCAACAATGATTACACAGAGTACATACACGAGCGATGGTGTGTCTTATGCCAGAATTTTTAAATCTCTCCCGACCCGAACGCGATTTTGGGGGTGCAATCGGCCGTTCATCGCTAACAGATTCGATCAAAAGAGGTCGAGCGCGACGAGGGTTTCGTGGTCAATTGTGTCACCCTCTCTAAAACAACCGGACCAGAATCTCGTTCGCGCATTAACGTTTCATTTTCCATAAAAACTCGGTTGCCCCGAAAAAAAAAAAAAAAAAAAAAAACGCGCAAATTTCACGCCTACGCGCTTACTGTTATTCCCTCGGTGTGCTCGCTTACATTCAAACCCGACGACGCACGGTGATTCGAAGGTTCCGAAGGGTAGATTATAAAAATCGTGGAAACGGAACACGAGCAAATAAGCGTGCGAAAAAGCTGGCCCGAAGGATAGTTTGAAAAGTAGCAGGCGACGTAGATGAAAGATGCCGAAGCGGCGAGAAAAAACGGAGAGGGAAAGAAAGATGTGCCAGAGGAATAGGTTGAGCAAAGGGTGAAAGAGAGAGAGAGAGACTAGGGTGTCGGTAAGGGAACGAAGAAAAAGAGGCCGCGTAGGAGTAGATGGAACAGAGAATAACGGAAGAATAGAAAAGAGAAGAAGGGGCTGAGAGAGAAAGAGAGAGAGAGAGAGAAGAGGAGGCAGGACGTAAAACAAAGTAACGACGAAATGCACTTCCCCCCTTTACGCCGTGCCCGGCGCTCGCCCGGAGGGAAACGTCGAACGAAACGTTAAAAACTGGGAAGAGGAATGAGAACGCGCGAGGGGGTGCTAGGTGGTGGCTCGTCGGTCGGGAGGGTCGGTGGGCCCAGTGGAGGCGCAAGGCGGAGGGTGGGTTTCGCCGTGGCAGGCGGGCCACCCTGGAAGGGTGCCGGGAGGTTATGACAGCCGAGGTATTGAGCGGATCCTTCGTTAAAAAAACGAGAAGCACCGTGCTGAGGCGCGTGGAACAGAGACGACGTGGATGAAGAGAAACGGACAGCGACAGAGGGAGAAAAGGAAGGCGAGCGAGAGACTGAGAGTGAGCGGGAAAGGAAGACGAAAACGTCGGAAGAGAAAGAGGAGAAGATTGGGATGGACGGAGTGAGAAAAAGTGAGATGAAAAGAGGGTGAGAGGGTGAGAAAGAGAAAAAGAGAGCGGTGCACGGCTGCCGCCGCCGCCGCCGTCGTCGTCGCTGTTGCTGCTGCTGCTGCTGCTAGAGCCGGTAGTGGAGGTGGTCCAAGGGGTGAGACCAAGTAACCGAATCCAACGCACCCTTGCCTCGCGCCCATTGCCTCCCCCGACCGGGAAAAAAACCGAGTGCACCATCTCCCTCCACTTCTCCGCTTCGTCCTCGTCCTCGTCCTCGTCCTCATCCTCCTGCTCGACCGCCCCTGACTGCTCTTCCTGAAGCAGTCCTTCCCACCCTCTCCTCTCCGCCTCTATCGCGACGCTCTTCTATCTTGCTCGCTCGTCATCGAGTTTCTTCCATCGCGACGACAAAAAAAAAAATGCTCCGACTTCGAATGACATTGCACGGCTTCCGAACGAAAACGACGCAAGAAATACATATTCCGCTTTGACGACGATGACGTTCTATCCTGTTACAAATTTAATTGTTCGTAGACCAAGGAGAAGGAATTTTAATCGTGAGGTCGTAAGGGTATACCTCCGTGAAAAGCATCCGATCGAAAATTCGAAACGATACTATCGGAATTCGAGTTGCCATCCCAAAGTGCACCGAGCTTCTTTGAAATCGTATCCCTGTCCTCTTTGATGCAATTTTCCTACCAAATTATCCATTAACTATAAAATGATATCGATCAACCTAGATCGGTGTATCCTGAAAACACGTTTTGTCCCCTTTACAATTACGTAGACGCTCGTCCACGGATGAGCAATCTACAACAGCGAAACGATTACACGGCTATCGGGTAGTACGTTAAAATCGCGATTACGCTACTTTGAAATCGACAGCCAGTCACTGTGCACGCTGCGGGAGTATCGCGAAGAAGCGGATAAGAAAACAGGAACGCGGAAAGAGGAAAGGGCAGCGTGTACTACCGAAAGAAGGGAAAAAGGGAATAGAGAGAGATATAGGAGAGGGAAGAAGGTGGAAGAAGGGAATCGAGACCGTTTGTTCGTCGACGGAAATGCAAGCTGGACACGGAACGACGGAAAACGAAGCGAGTGTGTGCGAAGCACTCTCCGGATTCGCGTAATGGGAAAATCGATTAGGAAGCGAGAGCGTAAGGTGACCGTGCAAGACGTAAGAATACAACGCGAAGGGTTGGGTTATTAGCTCATCACTAGAACCGGCAAATTAAAGCGAATCGTGGAAAGTAAAAAAGAAAAGAATTGTGAGATTTACGCGTTAAACGCGATAATGAACGTTTGAATCGGAGGCTGCTGAAATTCAAGGGGAAAAGTTTCGATCAAGAAACAGTCAACACGGGTAAAACTCGAGCATCTTGGAACTCCGAGCCACTTGTAGGCACTCTAAGAGTCTAGTCACTTTTCCCTCGGCTGGCGTGCCTGCGAAGGTTCAACGACATCGGCTGGAAGCTTCGGTACGCGTAAGTACGCGAACGCGGACGCGTGCAGCAAGCCGAAAGTGGAACGCTTGGCAAAAGCGATCGCCTTTTTTTTTTTTTTTTTTGCTCCAACAGTTTTCACCAATTAGACACGGTTGATGAGAAATCGAAGGATGCGGGGCGATGGAAGGCCTCTAATTATCACGGAGCATCGCTGCCGAAATACGAACCCTCGCCTCGACACAGAAACACCGTGAACGCGACAGTTCAGTGAACGTGGCGTCGCGTCGCCTTGCGTCTCTGCCTAGCGTCGGCGAAAGTTTCGACGAAGCGCACGCGGTTGGCTCGTGGCAAATGTAGAACACCCGTAGAACCGCAGCAACCGAAAGCCTCTTGCATTTCATCAATATTGTTCACGTAGGCTTACCTACGACTGCTATCCGATCGATCTTTCAGCGTCACCGGTATATCGCCCTGCTAGCCCACGGCTACCTTCTATTCATCGTGTGGCGTCCGTGCGCCAACGGAATATCAACACGGAGAATCAAACGCTTTTAACGAACGGTCTGTTGCTGCTCCGATTTTGATCGCTTACACCGTGCGTCGCGTCGCGTCGCGTCGCCTCGCCTCGCCTCGCCTCGCATCGCGTCAACCAAACGTTATCGATCTTCGACTCCTCTCCGCGACCGGACGAAAATCGATTCAAAATTGACCTCGATCGCGTTACTCCAATTAAACGCTCGCACCATTTCGATCAACGTTTACCAAAACTTTTCCCCCCTCTCGATAAAATACGAAAAGTGTTTATGGCCTAGAATTTTATTCCCACAAGTAACCGAGCAGAGATTACTGGAAAGTTTGTTTCGAAAGGAAAAGCGACCGAGCTGAAACGTTGATCCGTCGAGAGAAATAAGGAAAGAGAAGAAGAGAGAAAGAGGAAGGCAATTAGAAGGCGTTTGATTATCGGCGACAAAGAGAAAGTTTGGTGCGTTAGCAGGGTAGAAATATTTCGGCGACAAAGACGACGAACGCGAGAGAATGAAGGGGTTGGTAAGGTAGGACCGTGAGGTGGAGTAGATGGTGGTGGGTGCAAGTGGGGTGGTTTGGGTGGGCGCGAGAAGGAAGAAGGTGAACGACGGACGGGAGGGGAATAGGGCAAGTAGAAAAGAGGAGGGTGTCCGCGGGGCGGATGAAAGGACGCTTACCAGCTACTACCTATTGATCGCCAATTCTTTTTCTCTTGTTGCATATTAGGCGCACTCTGCCTCGTCTCTCTTTCTCTCGATGGTGCGCTCTCCCACCCCCTTGCTAGTGTAGAGCGCGCGAATCCGCCCCTATAGCTACCCTCCGACCACCATGCGCGCCTCTTCCTCTTCCTCTTTCTGCTACCCTCGGCTCTCTTCGCTCTTCTATACCTTTCTGCCCATATCGCGTCACCGCTCGAGAGTGCGAGCCACCCCTACCACTTTTCTATCTACGCTATCGGCCCAACGTACTTACTTCTTACTAGCAATCTTTCGCCTCGAATAACAACACCTTTTCTCATCCGGGGTGGGGCCACATCACGTTTCGTTCGCGTACTGATTTAAACGCGAGCCCAAACGATCGTAACGACGACGAATCGATGATCGAAAATCGATATTTTAAAAAAAATAGAAAATAAAAATGCTCGCAAAGGATACAGAAAAATAAATTTAAAAAAATCGATTTACCAATTGTTTCAGATAACAGCCGGTGAAGTTGGACCGGCAGAAGACTGAAGGAAAGAACCGGTGAGGTGAGCGTGAAAGGCGAAATCGGTCGGAGCGAAGGAACGTCGAAAGAGAAGGAAGTGGAAAGAAGCAGCAGGACTTGCCGGCGGCGACAGACTGCACTCTCGCACCGTTCAGGGCGCAAGCGTGCACGTGTGTTGTGCGTTTCCGTGCCGTCGTAACCCTGTCTCAGCACGAGGGAGTAGTCGTTTCTCCGCGTTCTCATCCCTACTCCACCAGCATCGCCGCCGCCGTTGCCGCCACCGTTATCGCCACCGCCGCCACCGCCACCATCACCGTCGCTCCCGTCGGCTCGCCATCCTTCCGACGTTCGCGAAGAAGCGCCGCCGCATCCGACGTAACGACGCCGGCCACCACGACGACGACGACGACGACGACGACGACGACAACGACGACGACGACGACCGCGACAAACAGGTGGAGGAGGAGGACGAGGACGAGGACACGGACGAGGACGAGGACAAGGACAATCGCGACCACGACCACGATCAACATTCCGTGGATCGGACTTCCACCATCGACCCTCCACGACCACGACGACCACTTTGCCTGTTTCTGGCGCGCGCTACGTCACGCGTGACGTTGTACCCGGCGCACACGTTGAAGCGACAGTGTGCATACACGATACGTTTCCCCCTCGCGTCCTCCTCGGGCACCGCCACGACCACGCAACAAAACTACCACTACTCGTGGTTGCCGCGCTAAAACTACCACCAACAACTACTACTATTACTACTGGATCGAGAGGGGGAGATCGAGAAAGCCGGTCAATCGAGCAAAGAAAGAGGAAGAAAAGCGAGAGGAGGAGGAGGAGGAGGTGGACGAGGACGAGGACGACAACGGCGACGACGACGAAGACGGAGGACGGCCGGCGGCGGAGGGGGTGGATATCCACGCGGGAACTCGAGGCAGGCGCACCCGGCCGGCACGCACACACATATATTCTAAGATGTGATTTCAAAAATGGCGGAATGCCCTTATGCCCGCTGCATACAGGAACGCAGACACATCCGACGGGAGTTGCTGCGATGGACAAAGAATATGGTCTTCGTAGTCGGTGAGTCAGACGAGACCATGCACCTAAATTTTCATCAAGGAGAGCGCGTTTCGCGAACGCCTTCGATCCTTGCTTGTAAATTTCTTTAATTTTACCCTACAGGAACCAACGTATCTAGTTAACCGCGTACTCGCGTTACGAACTCGGTTTCACCGCATGGTGAATCTCCGAACGCGTCGGGGCTACATGGATGCAACAGCGGCAGTCGCCCGTCTGTGTGTCGATGTTCGGAAAGAGAAGGAGAGAAAGAGAGAGAGTGAATGCGAAAGGGTCGGGCGGGGGTGGTATAGCGGGTGGACGAGGGGGTGAGAGAGATAGGGGTTAGAGAGGGGAGGAGGGAAAGATAGAAGGAGAGAGAAAGAGAGAGAGAGAGAAGCAAGGCCGGTGGTGAGACCTGTTGCGAACCGAAACGCCGAATCCTGGTTGACTGCGAGCCAGGCGTGACTCCTACTCGTGTTCGTACGTTCAACAGGGTGGTTTCCACGTTGTCGAGAAACACTAGTATTTCGCGCGTACATCGTTTCGAAATTTTACGATATTATTTTGTCTCTCCGTATGGTTGACGCAACATGCATTCCTCTCCTCGAAATTTCAACGAAAATAGGATAGCATTCCGGGGTTGAGAATTTTCATCTCTTCGATCGCGTCGACGTTAAAATCCGCCAACGGGACGGATATCGTCGATCAACAGGGAATTATTGTCACGTTTGTGGAAATTTCGCGAGGCACGCGCGGGTCGCTAGAAATCCGGAGAAAAATTCGACCGACGAGTTTCGGTGGGGCGGCATTTTCTAATTAGGTCAGCGTAAAATATGATCCGACCGAGGAAGAATGGTAAAGTGGATCTGGCGTAATGGCTTTTACCCTATCCGCGCCCTCGTACGCCGGCGCCTCTCGGTTCGAGCCGCCTTCGGCAGCATTGCCATCGTCATCGGCACCGGCACGAGCATCGCCACCGAGTTATAACCACCGCTGCCTCCTACGTATGGGAGTAAGCCGCGCACGGAATACTGCACAAGTTGCGTGCCTTGACCACAGACAACCAAGCGAGCGATCCCGGCCGCCGCCCGAAACCTTCTTTTCTTCTTATTCTTTTTCTTATTCTTACCGCCTCCCTCTTTCACATCCTCCCTCGCTCCCTCTTCGCCATCCGCATCCCTCTATTACTCGTTCCTCGCTTACGCCCCCACCATTGTCTTCCTGCTCCCCCTCTTCTCTCCCTTCTTTCCCTCCCTCCTTCCCTCCCTTTGGCTTCGGGTTAGTCCGTCAAGAGAAGAGTTGTGTTACTCGTAGAAGGCGCGTTTCCACGCGCGCTGCTGTTGCGTGCACTCGCCGTTACGCTTTTTCCTCCACCTTCGTAACCTCACCCTTCGACCCTCCTCCACCCTTCTTCAGCCCCTCTTCCGTATCCCTTCATCCCCGTCGCGTTCTGTCCCTACCTCTTCGTCTGCCTCGTTTCGAAACGCAGCTGCCGGTGTGGTGGTCGAGAAATTTTCGCGAGTCCTTTCCACCCTCTCCCACCTACCGGTACCGCCACCTCCTCCCTCGTGGCTATACCCCCGCCCTTCGATTTCTTCCCGGACTCTCCTATTTCCACCTTTTTTTTTTTTCTTCTTCCCGATCACCGGGCTCTCATTCTCCCTTGCGAAGATTCGAACGAGTGACGGAGAAAACGAGAGGAAACGGAAACGCGGGGTGCACGAAAGACAGAGCGAGCGAGCGAGTAAGAGCTGCGTGTGTGCGCGTTAGAGAACCTCCGTCGTCGTACTCCTCTCGAGACGTCCATGATCTTCGGAGATCGACCAGTAGCAGTTCTGGAAAGGGTGACGAAGGGTAACGCGCGAGTGTCGGTTAGTGTTCTCCGGTAACCAGCAGCAACGTTTCCTCCTTCTTTCGGTGATACATACACAACGTGGCTGATATCGAGTTAAGTGTTTCGCGCGGTTACACGAAAAAGTTGTTGGTGATTGGTGGCAGTGGTGGTGGTGATGTTCGAATACCGTCGACTGTGATTTCGAGAAAATAGGAAAAATATCAAGATGCCGCGTGACGTCGCGAGCCTGTGAAACGACCGCAACCGTTCTCCCTCTCACGCGATCCAACCGGCTATCGCGACCTGTTACGTTGCACGTGTTGCTCTCGAACGGGATGTGCATACGTGCGAGCATCCGCCTCGAACCCGAAGGATTTTTCCAAATTTTTCGAACCCCACAAATTCACGTAACTCGTTCGTCACGTAATCTAGATTGAACGGATTATTTACGGGTAATCCTGGTGGCTGTGCCGTGCGTGTCCGGCACGGAACCGGCCGTAATGAAGCGATATCCGTTTCTCTCGGTGATCCTACTTTACGAATCGACCCTCGACCAGATACCAGCACCCGAAAATTCTCGCTCGTCGCTACTTTCTCGGCAGTAACGATGCTGCTCGACGACGAAGCGACGCCGAAGATAACTGGGAATACAAAGACCGACGTGTAGAGTACGTATGCACCGGATAAAAATGTTCTCGGACAATCCTGCCTTTCCGACCGATGGATAATCGTGCGTTAACGAGAGCTCGAGAAAAACAATGCACGTCCACGTGTACCGCCTCGAGAGCGTTTGTCCACGCTCCCTGTTAACGTTCACGCGCTAAAGAAGCTTCGAATTCATCGTCGTGATCGAAAGCGAATTAGATCGAATGCAAGCTCGTTCCTTCCCATTGTACGAAAATTCAGCGACCGAAAACGTTCGTTCGTTCGGTCTCCCTGTTGCTCTTTGCATCGTGCAAGATAAACGAATACTTTCCAAGCTACATTTTCCGCTCGCCTATTTCGTTCTTTTCCCCATTGTGCACCCACACCCTTGCTTTCTCGAAAACGTTCGCCTCTGAGACGGAAGAAAAAGCACGAAAGAGAGAGAGAGAGAGAGAGAGAAGAAAGAAGCAAGGGTCAGAAGGGGGTGAGAAGATAGGAAAGGAGGAGCGTTCGGGTGGGTGCAGTTACTGCTGATCGTTAAAAGGCGCATAAAAAAAGGTCGTGAGAAGGGGCGGTGGGAGGCGAGAGGAAGCAGCGCGAGAAGTAACAATAAAAATTCGTGGGCATTCGTGTTTCGTCGCCAAGGTAGAAGCGCGACGTTCAGGGGTAAAGGAGTAAGAGAAAGAGGAAGAGGAAGAGGAGAAGAAGGTGGTGGTAGAAAAGAGAGAAAGCGAGAGAAGGGTCAGGCAGGGGTGATGAGGGCGAAGGTGGTAGGAGGAGACGGTGGGTGCAGCGTCGAGGGGGGGTTGGTGGGGGTGGCGGTGCAGGCGCAACGAGGGTGGAGGGAAACGGGTATCGGGGGTGGTAGCGAAGGATGGGTATGGCGGAGCAGGGTGCGTAATGAAACGATATTGAGTAGCCGTGGTAGGGAGGCTGGTGACGAAGGGTGGGGGTCGTCTTCAGCCCTCTCCGTCGATTGACCTCGCTTCGACGAGGCGAAACAAGCGGAGTAGGGGTGAGACGGAGCGAGACTAGGCGAACCGTAGGTGGGGGTGAGTGGCACACACAGGGGCGGACGTGGCGAGAGAAGGGTGCCTCCGGTGGGGGCGAAATACCGAGCGATCCTACGTGGCCTACCAGGAAGGGAGACCGAACTTAAATTGACGAAAATGACACGGCACCTTCTTTTTGTCTTTGCCTATCCTCCGCCCGAACGCAACCGGTGCAACGCCTTGCTGCGCCTTCCGAAATGCTTCAAAGCGACATTAGTACCTCGTGAACACGGCAAACGAACCGCAATAGACAGAGATCCGCCGGAAGAACGACTTTGTGGTTAGCCCGCGGAATGGCACTCTATCAAACGACTCGACGATTCGATATTCAATGTGAGTTTCACTCCTTCGCGTCGTTTGATATGCTTTCCCTGTTTACCATAACCCTGCACCTTTCGTTTTAGAAACATCTTACAACAGATTTGCTCAATTTTCGAGATTAACTCGGTTGTTCATTTTCGCGCAACAATATTAATACGTATGTGAGTACTGCTTTTTATAATACTAATTATTGCACTACATTTTGTGAAGCAGGATATAAATTAAAAGTTCACAGTATAAAATATTACGTTCGCGTGTATGTTTTAAAGTTAGGATAATAAAAATTGTCGCGTTAAATCAAAATGCAAACAATAATAAAAAAAAAAAAATAACGTAAGAATTTCATGAAGCAAAGTAATCGTCAATCCAATTAAAATGAAATCGTCAAACAAGCCTCGTAATGCATATATCCCTGTACGCTTTTCTTACTCGTGTCACGTGATCGACGCTCACGCGTTAAAATAAAAAGGAAAAATAATCGTGTAGGAAAATCTCGTTGATGCGATCAGGCTCCTCTTTATTCGCGTTGATTTTTCATTTGAACGGAAAACAACAAAGGAACAACAACACCTGACGTAAAACGTACGCTTCGTATAATATTTTTCGTCTCTGTAAATGAGATCGGTAGCGAAATGGGTGGGGGAAAGGACGCGTGTAAACGATTTGAAAAATTATCAACGAACCGTGTGTCGAGGTGGTTTTTAAAACACTGAAAACGCGTTAATACTCAGATGGAAGCGCATAATAATCCATTAAATGATCATATGACCTGTCAGATAATTATCAAGCTTGACAGAAATTAATATCAATGAACGATATTAATGATCATTCTCCTTGTAAAATATAACGGACGTGTCGCAACGAACAGTCGGTTTCAGTTGTAAAATTCATATCGTACACCGGTAATTTTGTCCCCTTTGTGCTTGATAAATTATCTCTTTCGCGATACAATTTCTTTTTCGTTTTGTCAGCTTGTACCCACTGGTCGTCTGTTTCTCGTATTATTTAATCGTGCACTTTGAGAGCGCGTTTCGTATTCCCGGAATAGTCGACCATTGAGTTTTAACACAAATGTCAAGGTTTTTCATCGTTTTCTACCTAACTCGACGGATTTTCATACAGTTATCCTCAAGCGTATCCCTTTACCTTTCATCTTTACTTTTACAATA